CACCTAAAATCTAAATACCCCACCCAAACTCTAAGACAGGACATAATAGGATTAACCAACAGATGCCAAATGGGCACACTCAGACTCAGGTCAAAATACATGACATAGGAAATACAAAGCCTCAAACAGGAACAGGAAACAACCTCAAGAGCCCCAGAGGGTATAAAAACCCACTCCCTACATGTGCTCTTTCTCTTTTCTTCCAGAGCCATCTTTCTGTCTGGTTCTTCTCTTCAATAAACTGCAGCCTTCTTTCTAAAGCAGTCGCCATGTTGTTTATTCCCGCCTTGGACTGAACGATGATGAAAACTTTTCCTTCAACACCAACCACAGAGGTGCAGGAGGAGGTGAGGGGGCTAGTCATACAATATATGCCACCCACCACATTAAAAAAAGGTCTGGAAAGGACTGCAGATAAACTTGGATGGGGACAGTTTAATTTACATTTAGATCTGACAGTTGCATTTCAGATGAGAACATTGCACTCTTTCCCCCCTGACTGAGCTTTTAAAACAGGGGTCTTTAAACTTGGCCCTTTTATGACTTCTGGATTTCAACTCCCAGAATTCCTCAGCCAGGCATGCTGGCTGAGGAATTCTGGGAGCTGAAGTCCACAAGTCATAAAAGGGCCGAGTTTGAAGACTTCTGTTTTAAAAGCTACATGATAGGACCGCTGTCTTTGTAGCAGGCAAACATTCAGTGGATCTTCCTCTTTAAGATCTGCTTCCAGGGAATGAAGGCCTGTGGGAAGAAATTCTAATAACTTTTTCGATGTCACGTGGTTCTTAAATACGTTAAGAGTTCTGTCAAGGAAGGGCCAGGAAGATGAAGTTTTCAGCAGGTATAGTTTTGGGGATTTTTAACTGAAAAAAGAGAGGATATCTATATGTATTTGTGTGTGTGTTATTTTGGAAAATAGAGTGGGAAAATGCACAAGTGACCTTCACCTTTAAAGATAATCGTGCACTGTAGACTGAAGATGCAGCTCTGGTATTGCTGGACACTGCTCAGCTCTTCCTTGCCTTGGAATTGAGCCTAAACACCTGGTGCTTCTTGATCCAGAAACTGTGACCTGCAGAACAGTGGCTGCTGCTTCTGATGGGCGTTATTCCCCACAGAGTAGCTTGCATATCCTGAAAAGGCTCCTAAATCAGAGTGCTGTTTCCAGAAAAAAGTTAACCCTTTTTTCACATAAACTAGTCATGGAGGATGAGAGTCTACAGACAACAGCGACATAGTTCTCAAGCCAGAAATCCTATCCCATCTACCATAATAATATCCCATCACAGGTTTAATTTTGCCTCTAGAAGTTGTGGGTGCTCCAACACTGGAGGTTTTTAAGAAGAGATTGGACAACCATTTGTCTGAAATGGTATAAGATAGGGGTGTCAAACTGCCAGACTGCGGGCCGGATGCCTCACGTGGAAGCTGCGCCCACCCCATTACCGGCAATGACAAAACACTCCCGATATGTCATGCGACATCATGTGATGTTGTGAGTTTGACATGTCTGGTTCTAAGGCAAGGGTCTTCAAACTTGGCAACTTTTAAGACTTGTGGACTTCAACTCCCAGAATTCCTCAGCCAGAAAAGGTGGATAAAGTACTTCCTTGCAGTCATATTTTAAATTCTTGTGATCTGAAAATTAACCTTATTTTAACTTTTTCTAGGATTGTTCATTTTCACAGGCTTAATCACTCAGATGCAGCATCGCTTAATACACACGTAGAAGACCCATAAAGTAGCAGCCCAAATAAATGTCAGAATAGAATCTTCAAGAGTGTCACTTTTTATGTGGATGCACATCACATTTCCAAAGGAACCAGTATTTCAGCAAGAACAGCCATCAGCTCCTACAGCCCCAAACACATATCACTTTCTTTCCATGTGCCGAGACAGCTGGGGAAAGCAGCTTGATTTTGGGACCCAGCTCAAGTTGCTTTCAATAGACCCTCTCTATTAGGATATGTGTTGTTTTTTGATATTGTTCTTACAGACTTCATTCTTTCAAGATGTTTGTATACTTTTGCTTGGAAGATTGTAAGCCATCCTTTATCAAATGGAAAGACAGGGCATGGATATTGTTTGTTTGTTTTTAAGAAAAACTATTCAAGAAATTGGCCACCCTTTGCCTCAGAATCATATTTTTTCTCTCTTTGAAAAGAAAATCAACCAACCCAAAAGTGAATAAACAGTCTGTAAATGCTGCAATCCAGCGTTTTAGAGTCCGGCCTGCAGCAGTTCATAGCCTACCAATCAATAAGGGTAAGGTCAGTGGTGAGATTCAAATACGTGAACAACTGGTTCTCTATGTGGATGCCGCTTCCGGAAGTCCATTCTGGGCCTGGGCAACAAAGAATTAGCTACCAGTTCTGCCGAAGTGGTGTGAACCAGCTGAATCCCACCACTGGGTAAGGTAGTTTTCCTCAACTTGGTGGAAATATCTAGGATAACAGCCCCAACCCACCTGGAGAGTGCCAGGTTGAGGAAGTAGACAGAAGGGTAGATTAAGACTTCAGTTTGGTTACGATGCTCCAGTCAGCCCCCAAGCTTAATCTTAATAGAAGTTCTAAGGTTGAAGGTTAGCTTTTAGAACTTCTAGTATCTCCTTTAAATACTAAAAAGTGCCTGGGAAAGAATGGGTTAGCACAGTGGTGGCGAACCTATGGCATGCGTGCCAGAAGTGGCACTCAGAGCCCTCTCTGTTGGCACACACACCACCGCTGCCAGCAGCAGGTCCATCAGGCCGCCACCACCACCCAGAGCAGGAGCCCTGCCCAGCACAAAGGAGGTGAAGCAGCCGACTAGCAAGCTCGAGTAGAGATGGTAGAGCAGAGGTCACCAACCATTGTCGATTGGTGGACTGGAAGAAAAGGGAGGGGGAAGCAATTTACATGCATGCATGCACGCACGGGGCCACGAGCATGCACGCACTGCAAATGGGGCAGGGCTAGTACCTGTGTGATACTCACTAGCCCTGCCCCATTCTTGCGTGGTGCAGCGCCTTGTATCTGCACCCCGAGGTGTGGCAGCAGCCGTTTTTGCATCTTGCAGCACGGTGGCCCACTTTTGCACCCCCGGTTTTTGCGTGCCAGAAGCAGCACTCAGAGGCACTTCCCTGCTCCCCCCCCAGGGCACCACAATGCTGATGTGGCCCTGGCACTTTGCGATAAATAAGTGGGGTTTGGGTTGCAGTTTGGGCACTCAGTCTCTAAAAGGTTCGCCATCACTGGGTTAGCAGATCAGTTCAGCAGGGTCTGGACCCTGTAAAGTAGAAATATTTTCCACTCTGTTGTCCTTTTTAGGGTTTGGAGTTCTTTTTAGTGCTTGCAATGTGATCCTGCAAACTTGAGAAGAAACCACTCTCTAGTTGAGGCATTGTCTAACCCAGGGATAGGCAACCTTGGCTCTTTTATTATGACTCGACTTCAATTCCCAGAATTCCTGAGCCATCCCATGCTGGCTCAGGAATTCTGGGAGTTGAAGTCCACGAGTCATAAAAGAGCCAAGGTTGCCTACCCCTGGTCTAACCAAACTTATTGTTTGAGTCTAAAAGATTTTTTTCTGAGGTTCCTCTCCCATCTAGCCTCAAATGACTGACCCAACCCAGTTCACTTCCCCACCACTGCTAAGACCGCCCCAAACCTATTTTTCCCCCACCTTCAAGTACTTTTTTCAGTCAACTTGTTTGGGAATGTACTTAAGACTCCCAACCTGCCCTATGATTGAGCACAAGGCCCCTGCTGGATCAGACCATAGTTCTAGCTACACTAATTCCTTCATTCCCACAATGGACACGCAGAAGCTTCTGGAAATCCCTGATATGAGAGGCAATACAACAATAGCCCACACCCAATTCCCTCAGTAACCTTTGAGATTCAGCAAGATAAGTGAGATAGTTTACGATTTCCAATCTTCAGTGGTCTAGATCATTTTAAAGCCACCAAACGCTAGAAACCATCACACTGAATGGCAGCTGGTCTTGATTTTGCCAGTCTTAAATCTACAATCCATTGGTTTCACTGGGTAATGGCCACATTGGCTGTTGGGGGGAGGGGGGCAAACATCTGAGGAAGGGCAACTTTCTTCCCATCCTTAATCTTACAAATCTCTTTCCATACTCCCAATTAATTGTTTTCCTTTTCAATTAAAAAGCCATAAATGTTTTAGCCCAGCTGTTTAGACCTGGTGCCTTCCATAAATATCAGGACTACAGACCCAATGAATAGGCCCAAGCAACATTTTGGCTGGGATTTCTGGAAGTCAGAACTCCAGAAAGAAAGTCCAACTTAACTCAAGTGAGCATTTTGGAGCTGTCTTCTAAACCAGCGATCCCCAACCTTTGCGGCTTGGCTGGGGGTGGGGATGGGGATGGGGGTGGGAGAGGGCCCTGCCACTCATGCAGCCTGGTTCCAAACAGGCCATGGTCCAGAGGTTGGGGACCCCCCTTCTAAATGATCTGCATGGGTGTTATATAGATGTGATAGCCAAGCGATACTATTCCTGTCCCAAATTTCCTCTGAAAACATTCCGCAGAGTTTGCTGAAATGATAGAAGTAAACCCCGGAGTATAGCGCACAGTACGAAAAACCAGACTTACATATGCTACAATTGTTTTACTTGATTACTCCTAACCATCAACAAAGAAAATCAGAGATTAGAAACATTTTCATCTCTATTAGTCAGTTCAAGAAAGGGGTCCTAAAACAAACAAACAAAAAACACTTGCTTTAGACAAAAACAAATGGGGGGAGAGGATAAGAGCAAAAAATCAAGAGAGGCATATGGTGTCAAACAGTTACCCCAAAAGCAATAAAGCAAATGAACTTCTGAAGAAAACATGAGAGTAAAGCAAATGATATCGGTCGGGAAGCATAGGCAGATAGGATGAGAAAAAAGCAGGGTTACAGAGACCGTTTAACTAATACATTGTCCATCTATATTAATCCTCTGATTTGGTGTTTCAAAGAGTGTTGTGGACGTGCAGAATCACAGCACGTTTACAGTGATTCCGAACTCTTCCCAACGCCAGGCTTCCAGTCCTCTGTGGGCATCTCTTCGGTAAGCATGCCACGGAGAGTGAAGGGCAAGATGGATTCTTCCAGCTGGTCATCTGGAACATGAATCTGAGGTAGGATTTGGGGAAAGTACAGCAGCTGGATAAAACAACAGTTCACAACCTCAGCAACTGGGAAGACAACCCTCCATTTTCATCAATAGCCTTACAGACTTCACTGGCCATCAGGACTCAAAAGAGTGGCTTTGCTTAAGGACCATCCCATCTATACCCCAGGCCTAGAATTCTCCCCGATGAAGAGTTTCACTTTCCATGGCCTCAGTCAGCAAACGTAACAACTCACCTATCTTCCCAAGCAACCTCTCTCAAACCCCAAGGTTTCTTCAGGTTTCTCCAAAGCCCTTTTCCATCTCTCCTCCACAAGTCTAGGAACATCGTGTCCCAGTGATAAATCCCAGAGGTTAACGTTGCACAGCCGGGAGGCTCCTCCCTCCCTCCCATTGAATTTTTGTGCTTTTTCATCACATTTCTAACCTGCTCTTCTCGAGATTAAGTTCATGTTCTGCTTCTTTCCCCCCCCTTACACTCGCACCAATCCAAAAATCTCGTTGAGTATCCTTGTCCCTTTCCTTTTTACAGCACAAGTTGCTTTTGTCAACATCTCCTCAATAGGCTCTTCACAAATGTCACTCATAATTCTGAAACAAAAGTTAGGCAGCTGACCCAGGATCAATGCCTGAAACAGCTTCTAATTTTCTTGGAAAAACAAAAGGCTGGCTCCCTCTGAACTCTTGACTTCCTCCGTCATCCGTAGACTGTCCACAAATGTGTTCCCCATTCCCGTATCTGGATTCTTCTGGAACCTATCTATTATCTATCCTCCATACATTACTCCTTTTGGCCTTACCAACCCAACTGCATCGATTTCTCCCTTCGTTCCCTTCATTCCCACTTCCCTGCATCAAGAACAAACCACTGTGACCAATTTATCAAGACCTCCCAAGGTTAAAGCACCAAAACCGAGTGTACCTGGTGGACTGGGACTCATTAAACCAACACTCCCAATAGCCACAGCAGAGTCAAGTGTTTCCATTCTCTAGTTAATGCTGGAAAAGAAATCCAGATATTTCTCAGTGCAGGTAACATCTCTCCAAACTAGTTAAGCAGAAACTAAACAGCTAGGATTCCAAGAACCGAGAAAAAATAGGGAGGGTTTTTCTCCATGTAGCCCCCCCCCTCCCCCAGTGTATCAAGGATGCAATAGTTTGATATTAAGATAGTCTCTAGATATTCAGGTACTACAGTACTTTCTAATTATGATATTCACTAATACTGGCCAGCACAAGGCCTTGGATATTTAAGTTCTTTAAAGTAAGTCAATAAAGCTTTTGCTCCACATTCAAGAGGCTTAAAAATGCTCTTTTTTTTCAGCCCCCCGTGCAGATTTCCACAGCATTTACTAAAGTCTCAGTCAGGCATATTAAGGTCTGGAGGTCAGTCTTCAGCATTTGTTAAAGCTTCATTATCCAGAGTTTCAAAATAATAATAAAAAAAAAAGGATTGTGAGGGGAGAGAATTGGTCTATCCAAGGCAAGGCTACCAATCTACAACATAAAGATGAACAGTAAATAAAGCTTTTTCCCCCAACCTTGGGGCACGTTCATATGTACAGTGTCAACTAAATGTGAAATAAAGTCATCCACGTGGACTCTAAATTAGGATCCTCATCACCAATGGACGTGGTTATTATTGTCTTCTTGACGGATCTTCTTTCATGTGCTGGTGACAGCCATACCTCTCCACCCAGACTTTTCTGTGCGCTTCCCATTGTCCTAGACATCTCCTCTCTCCCACCATGTTCGTAGCATCGGATCCTGTTGCAAGAGCTGAACAAGTACCGGAGTCTCCACAACCTCAGAACATCGCCATGCCCTTCTCTTGCAGGGATTCTCGACTGTTCAACACTGGAGAACCCCTGCCTTCACATTTCATTTCAACTGAATGGTCCTTAGGGGACTCCTTAACGTGGCACCTTTGGTGCTTGAGCAGGTTGGCTCGGCGGGTGAACCCCTTCCCACAGCTGGAGCACCGGAAGGGCTTGGTCCCAAAGTGGGTCCGCTGATGGATGATGACTTCCAAGGTGGTGCTGAAGCTGCGCCCACACTCACTGCACTTGTAGGGCCTCTTGCCCAGGTGGCTGCGCTGATGCTTGAAGAGCTGGGAAGTATGGCTAAAGTGCTCAGGGCAATTGGGGCATTTGTAGGGCTTCTCCCCCGTGTGGATACGCTGATGCCTTTCCAAGTGGGAGCTCCAGGCAAAGCTTTTGGAGCAATACTGGCACTTGTGGTTCTTCTCCATGGCATGACCGCGCTGATGAGCTAGGAACGCAGAACTGTCCCCAAAGCATTTGTCGCAGTCCGCACATTTATAGGGCCGGGCATGCGAGTGAGTCTTGTTGTGGTGAAGGAGGTGGACCTTCTGGGCAAATTTCTCCCCACAGATGGGGCAGGGGAACGGGCGCTCCCCAGTGTGCACCCGACGGTGGCGCTCAAGATGGGAGGCCCACACAAACCCTTTCCCGCATTCTTCGCAGAGATGGGTGCGCTCACGGTGGTGTCCCCGCTGGTGCCGCATCAGCGTCTGCCGACTGCGGTAGACCTTGCCACAGTCCTCACAGCCCAGATGGGTCTTCTTGTGTTCCTCCAGCTCAGAGATCTGAGCAAAGCTTCTCCAGCAGGCAGGGCAGTTGTAAGGGCGCTCGCCCATGTGGTTACGCCGGTGCTTGGCCAAATGGGCACTCTGGCTGTACGACTCCCCACATTCAGGGCACTTGAAAGGCCTCTCCCCGGTGTGGACCCGGCGGTGCCTCTCCAGATGGGAAGCCCAGATGAAGCATTTCCCACAGTCCAAGCACTTATGGGGCTTCTCTGCGGTGTGGCCCTTCTGGTGGTTCTCCAGGGCTGAGCTCTGGGCAAAGCGTTTCCCGCACTCGGGACACTTGAAGGGCTTTTCGATCAGCTGGGCGCAGCTGTGCTGCAAGAGGTGGAAGTTCTGGCTGTAGGCTTCCCCACAGTTGAGGCATTTGAAGGGCTTCTCTCCCGTGTGCATCCTCCGATGGCGCTCTAGGTGGGAGCTCCATATAAAGCACTTCCCACAGTCGGTACACTGGAAGGGCTTCTCCCGAGCGGCGTTGGCTTCGCTCCGCTGGCGGCCTCTGCCGGCAGAATGAAGGGTCCTCGTGCAATCTGAGCAGCGTCTCTCGAGGCTTTTTTTCAAGGCGTGTCCACGCTGGGTTGCTTTGTCCTTCTTCACCACTGGAATGATCTTTGGCTGCTTCGGAGTTTCCCGTCTCGCCAAGGGCTTGACCTTCCTGGGCGCACTTTGAGAGGTACCTGGCCGCAGTTCCTCCACGCCTTCAGCTTCTTCTTCGTCCTCCTCCTCCTCTTCCTCCTCCTCATCATGGTTACTGTTGTTTAGCAATTGATTAGCTGCTAAGACAAAGGCAGGCAATTAAACTCCTGGCCAACATCACACCCCAGCCCCATGTTATTCCAACTCCTTTAATTTGGTGTTTCATCACTGAAATTCCTGGCAAATGTCATAAGGGTCACTTCATTTTTTAAAGTTGTTTACACTGTCTTATTTGCTCTGTTTCCTTATAAGCAACTTCACTGCTTCTGAAAGGAATGCATACATCTAAAAATTAACAAGTCGCAATGTTTAAAATAAGCCTATAGAAGACTTTTACTTCCCCACCCACCCAGCAACCATCTGTAATTTACAAAAGCAAAATAATTTTATTTTCATTTTTGCTTATCGTGTACTGGTTTAATAGTGCTTTAGGAGCAGCAACAAAAAAGGAAAAGGGG